TATATCGTGGGAAAATGATGAAATAATTCTAGAGTATAAAAGGAACAGATAGGAAAATTTAGCTTGATTTAAGTTTAAAATTTAGAAAGAGATATAATTTGAAATTTTTTGAAGAAATAAGGGAAACGATACACCTGAGTGCAAAACGGAACCTTGATTTTGGCGGAACACTAGACGTGAGGCGGCGAAAAGAGTCTTACAGAAGAGCGGTGGCCCAGTCGCTGCACCATGCACCACGTGAAGTCGCACACTCGAGTGCTGCTGGTTGCCTGTATAAGTAGGAGCTACCCCTACGGCACTGGTGCCAACTGGACGTGACTATCAGCGCTAAACGCGCCAGCCGGGCCGCGTGTTGTGGCGAAAAATCACGTCCCAAGGGCAGCAAAAACTTGATCATCGAGCCGATCATCGCGGGTGTCAGCAAAATGTGCGCCCACCTTGAGACCCAAGACGGCCGTCAATTGAAAAATTCACAAGGGAAATCCTGTCAAGCGCATACCGGGTTTTGGCGCAGAATTTTAATCTGACTAAAACGTTTTTCTCCGTCACACATTTCCAGCAGCTCTACATTAAATCTATTTTACTACCCACTGTAATTTGAGTTTATTTTAATAAATTAAGTTTGATTCGAATTAATTTAATTTTGGAGGCTGTGAAAGTAAAAATAAAAATCGATTTTGAGATATGCGGGAAGCGGCCGGTCCGGATTAGGCGGCGTCTTTCTCCAGCGCTAGTCGAGCTTTGGAAAAGTTGGCCAACTCTGCTCCACTCCATCGACCCCTTTTTCTAGACTACACGCTACGCAACCCTCAATTATTACATGTCGTGGCAGCGCCGCACACGCGCGTGCCACCGAAAACACACGTCGGGAAATGATACAGCGGAAATCGGCCCACGCCAAATCCACCCCTGCCGCCTCATTTGAGGCTCCGAGCATCTAAAAAGCAACGACCTGGGTCTATGTGGCGAAACGAGAGGGGAGGCCGCGCCGACACAAAATCCATCAGCGAAACTCATCAGTCGTTCGACCCTAATTGTATCGATGTTGCGATCTGGGTCAACGCAGCAGTGACGACGGGTGAATTTTTCGCCACCCTATCTCGGGCTATTGAGCGGCGTCGTGATTAATGATAGCCGCTGATGCGAATCAAATCCGGAAAGCGGCTTTCGCGTGCCGCTTTTTAAATGCAAGACGATAAAGAGAGAGAAACTGTGCGTGTGACGTCACCTTCAATCATGGATATTCGTGCCGTTTTTTTTTTTTATTATATTTTTCACTTCAGCTATTTTCGTCCGTGTTACAATTTAATTTGAGCTAATTGCTGCTTGCAATTATTTGAAATATCTGACATTTTTGGAACAGGAAAGTGGAAATTTACGGCTTGAGCGACCTTTGGTGGGGTGGCGCCTTTTGTTTGCACGGTGACCGTAAGGAAAATGTCGATTTGTATTGATCTTTCTTGATGCATTCAATTACGGCGGAAACCACAAAGCTTCAAAGTAGGCAACCTGGTGAGCACACATGTGGACACGTTGCATACCCACAAGGCGTTCCCACAACCGCTAACCTAGATACAACCAACCACAATTTGGTACGCGGCGGCACATTTTTCAAAAAGGGAAAAAATGCAAATTCGATTTCTTGGAATTTTCATAAAAAGCGCTTCATTTTCTTTTTAAATTTAGAAATTCGTATTCCAGTCGTTTGGCCTGATAAAAATGCATGTCAGCAAGGGGCAAACAAGGTTGTGAATATTTCATTGGCGTGGAGACAGTTTGTGTTCATTTCGATGTGACGCGCTGACAATGAGTGAGAGCCGCGGGATTATGGTGGCCCTCGCGCGGAAAGGTCGTCGTTGGGGCGAAAGCAAACTGTTTTGGTCCTTTGACACGCGGCGGACGTGCCCGTCGTACAAAATAAAAAGGAACCTCCCTCCTCTGTTTATTTTCGTATTCAGCCGCTCTCTTTTCATATTGATTGGCCGAATATTTTATTATCCGGCGGTGGCGCGCGAGGGCATTATCCGCACGCTGGGCGTGCGAATCCTCTCCGCATTTCTGCAATCACAACGACGGGCGGGATTCGATTTTCATATAAGCGTATCAGGCGTTATTTTATATATTTGGAGATAATGCTTGGCGGAGGCAGCCTGTTTTTCATCGATATTTGCTCAGAGATACTTCCAAATGTAGAGGCTAGGGTGGTGGAATCGAACCAAAGCTCTGAAACGTGACCCTCATATTATATTTATAAGAAAACTTATCAAACATGTATTCTCTTAATTCCGACTTTTTCAATTTAAAAGAAGTATTTGTGGTAGAAGTTCACGATCGAGGGTTGATTCATGGTTATTTGAATTTAAACTCGGCTTTTCCTCCATGGGCTTTGTGAGTTGTTTAATATTGTTTTTACAAAATACAATATCCTGCTTTTTTGCGAAACATTATTCCGATACATTTAAACACGAAATCAGTTAAAAAAAATTTGACACTTGAATTAAAAAAATGTTTTTAACAAACTAATTTACATACTAATTTTGGTCAGAATATTGAAACACCGTGTGTTTTGAGCGTAACGAAAAACCCTACAAAAATTTTTTTGGATCGCAAGAACTTCTTTCCTCAACCCTGCCAATATTCGCCCTTTCTTTTGTTATGGTCGAGCTGGGTATTATGGCGATGATTCTCGCTCTTTCCCTTTCGGATTTGTCCGCTGCCAATGCGATGTGGAATAAAAATGGTGATGCTTTGCCTCCCTCGCGGCCGCCGCTCTCCGCAGACATACAAGAATTAAAAAAGGCCGGATTAAATGACCCGTGCAGGAACAAAGCACGAGACGAGATCACACAGAGCCTTGGCGAAAAATTGACCGCGGGCTTGATTTGACCCAGATTTTTCCTGTGTGCTCTTTCCGAGAGAGACGGGCTAATTAGTTTCCTGACTTGAAATGACTGTTAATCCTCCAAGAGATTTTTTCACCCACTTTTCTCGCGCGAGATTATTCAAGCAATTTATGTGGTGCTTGGAGATTGGCCAATTCCGTGGCGTTCACTTTCGCCTCTTATTCTCTGCGAGACAAGATAGATGCACGAAAAGAACGCGTCTATTTTTACAGAGACGCGCCGACGAGATTCTTCTTAAGAGCGTAATTGTGCTCGCAAAGAAACAAACGCTTTCGTTTTAAGTGAAAACTTCATTAAAAATAATTGCTCGTCAGGGACGACAAAAGGAAGGGGAAATTCGCACAGTTTGCAGCAAAAGTGACCTTTTCGATTAAAAGAATGACCTTGAGGGTTAAAAAACAGGCAATCAATTTCAGCCTCATCCCTTCTTTGACACCGCAAAACCTGAAAAGCATTTGATTTTACTCTTGCGCCATTACTGGCGAGTGCGTTGGATTTTGATTGATAAGAAAGGGCTGAACGGAAAAAGTTTGGACTGATGACATTTGTTGCTAACAAAAAAGTCGTGAGGCCGCCGGGAGTGGCGGCGGCGGCACGTTTTATTTTATTGGCGCCGCTCCAACCGAATTTACAAGATATGGACGGCATCCGCCATTAAGCTCACCCTTAAATACCTTTTATCATCGAATAAATTTGCGGTTCGCCGTTTGCGATGACACGACCAATATTGAAATTTGCATGCAGACCCCATTCGCGCGGCTATCAATTAGCCGGATGTGCATCTGCAGCCAACCGGCTTCCGATCCACAAAATGTCGACACAACTTTTGCTTGATTTCGCAAGAGAGTTCAAAGTACTAATGCTGTAATGTGCCTCGATTATCAGCGCTGCAAGTGAATAAATTATTCAAATGAGAAAAGAGACGGACCGTGGAGCTGGACAACTTTTGATGACACAATTATCTCACCGTCTGCCTGACCAGGCTGCATGAAATTTGTTGTGTGCGCTTGTCAGTGGAATAAGTAAGTAAGTTTGTTGCGAAATTAACGCCAGTCGACTTCAATGAGTGTGCAAAAGTTGGAGAGAAACTTTGTCTGTTTGTGAGAGAGAAAAAAACAACAACGGTATAATCGGGCTAAACTTGCTGCTATTTGCATAAAGTTTGGATAAGCACATAATAGGCTTATCACGCTAAACTTGCCGCTTTTTCGCTCATTATGAAGACATTTATTTGTGATTTGAATAATGAATGCATTGTGACCAAAAAAAGCCGAGTTAAACAGCGTTGACAATAATTAAGCCCTCTTTAGTAAAAATTTGTTTTTGCCATTAAAAACAGCCTTAAAGGATTAGCCATTCCAAAATATTTTTTTATACATAGGAAGAATTAAAAAAAGAAAGAAGCTAATAATGGAGAAATTTCAATGAACGAGAAGGGAAAATTGATAATGACATTTATTGCACACAGGACAATGAAGAAGAGGAAATTGCAGTTTTATCTTTACTGACAATGAAATCTGTCCCTTTTTACGATGGAAAATAAAACTTGGTTTCTAATCAGATCTGTTGCAATTAATATCAATCAAGATCAACGACAAAAAGGTGCAAAAAACCTTGAAGGAAAACCCTCCAGCGAATGAGTTATTGCTCCGAAATACACACCCATTACCGTTTTCATTGGCAGAGAAAAAACTAAACACAGCACGACAGGAAGTTTTCTTCCGGCAAACTTGTTTCATTTCCAAGAGGAAAAAACTTTGACGGTTCCGTGCTGTGGGGTTTGAGAATAAGGAACCTGGGCAATATTGTACAAAACATTGGTGCGGCGGCGAATCCGAGATCGGGCCCGCATAATTTGCCGCACACATAATAATATCTGCAGTGATACAGGGTCGGATTTGCCGCGCTCTAGGTAGGGAAGGGAGAGGTTGCGCAGCGCGAATGCAGCATCGCACCCTGCTTTCCTCGCTCGCTACTCTAATCCCCGCCGGTGCCAAATTAAATATTAAAACGACACGCGCGGTGTGTGCGCGCCGCGAGCTCCCATACGTAAATTTATTCGCACAAAGGACCGTTAGTGGCGCGTTGTTCACTTACCTGAGCGTAATTATCACTTCGCAGGATGACGTGACCCTGCTCATGTTGCGGGGAATGTGAAGTCAATAAATCATCGTCCGGCGCGTACCTCGGCTTCTGTGGACAAACAACGCCCGGATTAGCATTTTGATTGAGGCGACCCAACTTGATCGGCAGAGCGTGCGTGCAATAAGAGCGCCCGCTATTGACAGGCACAAAACTTTATCAATATCGGAGATTTGGGACAAAATTTATTTACACTTCGGTTGAAAAATATTCCACAAGTAGTTATATATTGAAAAGGCCAAGGGGGAGCTACAATCTATGTCATGGCTGAGAACTGGATACGTATTTATTAACTAAAAACTGCAGGAAAAAATAAGTTTTTTTTGCTGTATTTAGAGTTTCAACATTGAATATTGTAAGAGAAGAGCATAGTAAATTCTGTAAAAAAACTTCTGATATCATTGCAATAAGTAAGCCTTAAAATTGCATTTAATACATTTTGGATTTCAACTTTAGTTATTATTGTTATTATTTTTTAATGAACATTATTAATTTTTGGTGATTTGAATTTAAAAGTTAGCTTTTCCTCGTTAGGTTTTGTGAGTTGTTTATTGTTTAGGGTAAATAATGTTTTGGCTGCGGGCTGCAACCATAATTCATGAGCTTTCTAGGCGGTGGTTGAGAGAAGGGTATTGTTTTTCTTAAAAGCTGCATTTTAATTCAAATCACCATGAATCAACCCTCGATCGTGAAATTCTGGTAAAATTATTAATTTTTAATAACAAAATAGTTCAAATCATTTTGCCTATTTTTGTATTACCTAAAATTGAGGGATATCCAGCCTGCTTAAATATGAAAAAAAAAAACTTAAATTAAATCTGTATTTAAAAAAATTTATCTACAACGTTTAGTTCATTGACCCAATCAGTGAATGTAAAGACGGAATAATTCATAATTTTAATTTGCACAGCTTATGATAATAATATATGGCAGAAATGAATAAATGTAATGGAATAATTATGTGTAATCTAATCATTACCTTAAATATATATTTCCAACAAGACTTATAATTACCATGCGCAATCAAGCATTTCAAATTAACCATCCATAAACACAAATATTGTTGGAATTCTCAGCAGCACGCAAATAATACAAACACAAAGTTTCAACCCACAACATGCCTAGATTTTAATTGCCCAGCGCCAAAAATAATAACATCCTTCGGACTCTGAAAGTGTTGGAGAGTCCAAGAGTGAGCGGCACATAAATATCGAGAGCGAAGTGAAAATAGGGCGTGGAAATTAACTTCCTACTTCAAAAATAAACACATTATTCGAAGGCAGTGGTGGAAATGTGGAGCGGCGCGTTTTAAAAGCATTACGCTCGTGCACCATCAGCGAGCGAGACTTCTTCTCTCCGCGTCCGCGAGTTTTGCTGTTGCTTCTGTCTATTTCAAAATCTATTTGGCACGTGATAAACACAGACTCGCACACGTCGCTGCGACAGAAACAAAGCGGACTGGATTCGCGCACAAAGCAGTTCCAGCGCAGGCAATTCATTTTCCGCTCTGTTGTGCTCCATGTAATTTTTCAACATCAGCCTGGCTGCGCCTGGCCTCGCCAAGATTAATTAATATGCATTTGGCTTCTTTGCTGCTTGTGCTGGCTGACTTTTTGCACCACTCGGCTCACCAGTCTTTCTTTGTGTTTCGCTAATGAAATGTAAATTTCTGTTTCTTGCAACATGTTCCATAAAGACGTTAGCACCAACAACAAATAACTGGCAACGTACATGACGTTTACAAAACACATCTGAAATGAAACAAGCAGAATAGAAATTTCTCCAGAGAAGTGATGAAAAGATTGGCTTTTAGCAGTAAAATGAAATTTAAAAATTCAATTAACTTATCACGATTATACCTGTAATGTAAATAAAAAAATTAGCAATCATAATTTAATTTTTTGTAAACTGAATTCAGGGTTCAGAATTTCATCACATTTTTTTTTCACAAAATTTTTACTGAATTCTTTTAGAGCTATTTTATGATATGCAACAGGTAAAGCTAGAATTGATTATAAAAATATTTGTATGCAAATTAAAATTTTAAATATTTATAAAAAGTCATGGAACTTGCTATAGCACGTGCTCATCATTAGCTCTTTTAAAAATAGGATGGGCCTAACTTTAAATATTTGTTTCTAAATTTATCAATATATAAAAAAATATAATAATCAATAAATTATGCAAAATATTGCTTATTGTTAGTTTAAGAAATTTAAAATTTTTAATCCCGTCAGAGTTAGAAATTTGAAGAAAAAAAATTATAAAATTAATCAAGATTTAAAAATTACATTTTATAATTTATTACAAAAAAGGGCGGATGTTGCGAAATACTTAAGAACATTCCAGAAATTGCGACTATAAAGTACCGAGAGCTAGTGGGATTGCAATTTGTAACACTTTCTGTGCCATGTCAATGGTTGGGTGGAGCTGCGTGGAACAGGTGCAAAATCTGGGCGCATGCCATCCCAGCGAGGAGGCATCGCATGTGTGTGTGTGATTGTAAACACTCTCGCCCCCCAGCAGCCTCTTTCAATCTCTAACGCTCTTATGGAAGCTCCCGGGCTGGTGAATTAATTAAACGTTGGAATGCAAATGAGGTAGCTCAAATGTGACCCCGGAGAAGAGATGATGGAAGTGCATCAGCGCCGGTCCAGCCTGATCAATTTGCCAATAAAATCAATATGTTCACTTATTTAGGCCTAAAGCAACACCGCCTATCCCCATTACTCAGAATTTGCGCAGCTTTTGCCACGGTTCGCTAACAACTTAGCTCAAAACAAAATCTAATAAAATTGTATTAAAGCGTTATATAATGAATGAAAAAAATATTGGTTTAATGAAAATATTTTAATTTTCCTATTTGATTCTTCAGTTCAAGGAGAAAACTTTGAAACAGTTTAAGTCTGGAAAAAACAGAAGAAAATAATAATAATAATCGATAATAATAAAAAAAAAAAAATTGCCAAAAATATCGGAGACAATTAATTGGCAGATTTATAAATTCGTTGTTGAGTTTACTGTCTTTTTTCGAAGACAAAAAAGCAACAAATAATGTAAAAATAAATGATTAGATTTATCCGATACATCTAAAAAAATATATTTTCACCAAGGGAGGATAAACAAAAATATAAAATTATTCGTAGCAAATTCTAGAGAATTCTAAAACAAAAACTCGCGTTAAAACATAACTATCCTCATAGACCACTTTGCAAGCTCACAACACAAACACTTTTAGTGCGTACTGACAATGAACAATCATCCGCATCCTCCACTATTAAATTTTAACATCTCAAACTGTCTGCCAACTCGCACGGCGCAAACAATTAAACCCGTCGGAGAACAAAAGGGCCGAAATTCAGCTCCTGCCAGCGAATTTTGCACGCCAGCGTTTGTAGGTCGAACAATGAAGGGTGCGAATTTTGGCTCGCAAGCAAGGAGAGGACTCGAGGGAGGGAACCCATTATGTGCGCATTCACCCCCGCTAATCACCGCCCCATTGTATACGCTTAAGTGTCGGGCAAAAATAAAAATAAAAAACCGAAAGAAAGAAATCTTACGCTGCAGCAGCTGGATGCGCCAGCACAACCGTCGGGGGTGGTGACCGCCTCCGGGGGCGGCTGCTCCGTCGGCACCATCTTGGCCTGACGGCGGCGCACCTTGTTGGGCACGGCGTACATGTAGTTGGAAAAGCGGCGGCGCGAGTGCCGCACAATGGACACCCAGTCGATCATTTTCGCGAATAATATTTCCCAAAAATGATTTCACTTTTCAAAAAAAAAATAATAAGAGAATCTGCCCCCGGGGGCGGCTGTCGGGGCACACGTCAGATCCACCAGAGCACGCGGTCGCACTTGTTCGGAAATAGAAGAGTCTATTTTGAGCTGCGTTTTTTCGGCATCCAGGGAGTTGCCACTTTTCCGCGGCACTTTCCGCGGTAATGTGAGAGGCGCGGTGTCGTTCGGTGCCTGCTGTAGGGGCGACTGTAAGCAGATTTTGCCGCTGAAAAGATGAGGCTGTACGCGGAGGGATGGACTCGTCGCCTCCACTCGTAGGCAGTGAAAATAGAGGGAGGAGGGACGCGCCGGCCAGATTTGCTTACACGCGAGAGTCTATCAATAAAAGAAGACTAGAAGAGGCGCCGACGACGGCGGAGACAATGATGCTGAATCACCGCCCAGGTCACATCGCAAGTCAGCCGCGCGGACTTGCCTCGCGTTTCCTCAGTCCTTCGGGCAAACATGAATTTAATATCAGACAGGCCTCTCTCGATTGGCCTCGATTCGATTATTACTTGCACCGACTCCTCTGCACAAGGACCAACCTTCTTCTTCAAAGAGGGCGTGTTATTAATAAAAATCATGAGTGACTTTGATGTTGGCATTTTCTAAAAGGCCAATCCGAACGACTGTCAAGGGATTCGTGAAACCTTCGCAAGCCATGCAATGACGTTCAAATTCACTAATTCACACATTATTTTTTATGAAAATTAGGAAAAGCTTTTTCCCCTAAAGATAGAAAAAAATACAACCTGCAAGACTTGAATACTGAAACATATTTAGTGAAAATCACAATTTGAATCCGGAATTTTAATAAGGACGGGATTAGAAAAAATTAATATAACATTGAAAAATGATCAATTCTCAAAATAGTTCAGGGATTGGCTAATATATGTATCATTTTTTAATACTTGATATATATATTATTGTAACCCTTGTTTTTAATTTTTAAAATTAACTTATAAATGTATTTAAAAACATAATTAATTATTAATTTAGTTTCAGATAATAATAATTTTTAACTTACTTCTAGCTCATTGTGATAATTATAAAAAACGGTTAGAAATAAACATAATATATTATCATAAAATCTTTGGAAGAAAGTAGGTCGTTGTATGCATGTAATATTAAGAATGGTTTTAACAACGATGAGTTAATCATAATTACGACTTGTATATTTTATTTTTTATTTCAAGCTTCAAGCCATTTCTCTTATTTTGTATTTGAATTGGTTTCATAAAATTTCACAGAAATAGAGAGACACTATAAAAATAATTATATACAGCATTGTGTAACATCAGAATGATGTTTTTGTAATTTCGTTCGGTCTACACTAACTTTTATTCCAAATGAATTGCGCACCGTTTTCAATACACCCTCAGGCGCTTTAATAAAAGTGTCATGAGCACGCCGACGGGAGTCTGTTTTGCAAAGAAAGCTCAAATGAGATACAAGTGCGCCTTGAGTGAACCTCTAAAATCAAAAGAAATTACCCCGAGCAAGTGACAAAAAGTGAAAGAAGTGACGCGAGCTGCGTTCAGATGCTTTCTGCTTGGCGTATTTTCAACGAAATACAAAATCTGAATTCGCGTGAGCGTTTCCATCACAACGAGTTTTATGTTTCAGCAGAGATGCTTTTACACGCGTGTTTTGGTTTTTTTAAAAGCCTCTTTAAAATAAACCCAAACTGTCTGTCAAAGCAGAAGGGTCAGTTTTTTGTTATGGAAAGTTTAAAATAATCTGACGCTCATTACATCAATCAAGCTGGAAGAGGCCAGCATGTTGAAGCCAAGATCGAACCGCAATTAATAATTTGGCACCGCGGTTGACAACATTTTGACAAATGTGGGCGTTGTCGGTCGACAACACTGACGGGCGCGGGCGGGCGCCCTTCTGCCGAGGAAATAATCGATCGCCGCTCATTTGCGGCGATTGATTGATGAGTTCGTTTGCGTGAATCTTCTTTTTTTGTAGTCCTGGTGCAGGAAGTGCACTCGACTCTGGAAATTGGAGCCAATCCGTGCAGCAAATCGCGGTGGCACATTCAATTGCAAGTCTTCTGCTGAATACATCTAGCAGGGTGCCTGTTGAATACGGTGGTGCTCGCAGCATTTAATGACGGCGGAAGGAAACTGCTCGCTCGTCGATATCCGCCCAATGCCCTCTCACCATTATAATATACACCCTTCTGCTGCTGGTGTGCAATTATTTTGCCAATGGAAATTCTGAGACTCGCCACATTACCACGAACATTAATTCCGCGCAAAGTGGGTTGCATTATCAAGTGTATTGATTTGGTCTGCATGGCAAGCGAAAATATAATTTCATGGCATCTGAGCAAGCAAAGCAAACAACTCCGAGAGAGGGTGATTAATATGTGCCAATAACGTCAAAAGAGGTTGTGCAATGTAGAGTGACGGTGAAAAAGTAATGAATTTCCAAAATGATTTATTATGATTTGATATTTGTAGACTCATCATTCTCTGATCTTTTACGTTTAAGTAGGTTTAGGGAGATGGACTGGCGCCAAAAAGGGGTGAAATGCATTTCTGTATGCTTGGAAAAATGTGAGTTTTCTTTTTATTAAAATAATTACAAAAAAGTGAAAAATCTAGATTTTCATTCGGTTAATTGGAGATCAATTGTTTCAACAACTTCTAGCAAAATAGGTCAATTTATAATAATTTATAATATTTCAAATTATTTTTATATACCTTATAAAGCTCATTGTAGGATAAAATTAATGATGATGTAGCTAAAATATGATATTTTCTGAATAGTTAAGAACCAGTAGAAATATTAATTTTTTTTTACAAAACTTTGGAAACTATTTATACAAATTGTAAAAAATACTGGGATACAGGTATGTGATAATAATTATTAATTAATAAGCTTAATTGGTTTTGAATTAAATAGTATAAAAAAGAGGTCTTAAGACTGTTGGTCTGGCCTAGAAAAAGTTTGAAGGAAAAGCCAAAGTAAATTACTATGACATCACAGTCACCTCATTTGTTCATTTTGCTGGTAAAATTTGGCGAAGGGAATCATAATTTTTCCTCTGTGAAAGGTATGAAGTTGAGTTTCTATGCTCATAAACAAAGTTGCAGGCCCATAATTAAGCCGCTTTTCGTGTAACTTGAGCTATAAATTAGTTCGCCAGGCGGGGAGTGGTGCAAAAACGAGATTTGCATTCCTAACAGCAAAAATGGAGCACTTTGCGTCCAAACGAGAGGGTGGCACAGCAATTAGGGAGAGAAAAGATGGAGATGAGACGTGTGCGAGGCGAACGAGCCTGGAGACGAGAAAGCGGCAATTACACGCGAGACGTTGCAGTGCGGCGGATGATCAAAGAGATTTCGCGAGCGCGATGGAGTAGAAAGGGGCACGCGTGCGACGAGCCGCCTCCGAATTCGCGCCTTTATCTCAAACGAGGCCCACCACTCGCCTCTAACGGTGCGAAAAAACGGAGCGTCAGCATTTTTGTTCTCCGCGTGAATAATTTTTTTGTGTGACGTGTGTGACTAGCATCGTCTTATAAAGGACAATAGGATGTTCAAGGGTGTAGATCGATTTGATAATTTTTTTTCGAAAGCAATTTTGAGCGACTTAGGGAGGTAATCTGCAAGGGTTTGATAAAATCACATGAAATCTGTGAATACAAAAGTTGGGACTTGAAAAAAGGCATGATACATGTAGAGATATACAAACAAAAATAATTTAAAATATTTCTTGCTGGCAAATTTTAGATTTTCTTTAAATAATTTTTTTTTTATAAATTTGCAAGCTTTCAGCACAGAAAAAAACGATAATTGTTACCTCCGTTATGTTTGTATTGTGTGATTTTAAAACATTTATTATTTGTACAATTTTCATCTTTTCTCTAAATTATATTAAACTGTAAAATTGTAAGCAAGAAAATGAATTTACACATTTATTTCTTCAAATAACCCGAATTTTGCGATTTAAAAATTATATTTAGTAGAGAAAAAAAGTAAATCACGTCATTGTTCTCAGAACTTTTGCACTGCTTTGATTCAGTTGCTCAAAATCAACTATTTTTTAATTCAATCTAATTTTTATTTGAGCTTTTATATTTATCCTAAAAATATCTTCCATTGGATTTTTTTCAAATTAAAAAGCATACATTTAACACCTCATATTAAATTTTACCCTTTGGACAAATTTTCCCTTTCGTGATGTTTGTCTCGGGTGTCCATGTCCAAATTCCAAATGAGGGAAAACTGAGCAGCTCTGGTGGCAATGCTCACTCGACGGACCCGAAATTGGAGTATGGCGGATTTTATCATGGCCTCGTAAAAGCCAGGCTGAAAGTGAGTCGCGCAGAGCAAGCGAGAGAGAGACGGTGTAGTTTTTGCACAAAATTTAGTGGCAGAGGCACGTGCGGCGCACTTGACTGCGAGTGAGTCAATTCTGGAGGGAAAAACACGAGCAAGGGCCGCGCTCAGCCCCTTCCTTGTATGCACTACTTTGTTACCGGCGAAATGCGTTTCGCGTGGGCGAGAGGGTAAAAAGGGGCCGCATGGCTTTTAAATGCGGCAGTGCGATGGAGGCTTCAGATAAAGGAATTTGGGGCAAAGGGTTTAGTGGATTTGAATTGTTAAAAAAAGTTTCCACAGCAAATGTGAAAATAATACAAATTTAAAAGGTTATATGTTAATCGAAGCAATTATTTCATTCCTGGTGTATTAATTATAATAACAGTATTTATTGATCACGGAATTTCTGGAACATTTTTGTTAAACTAAAACAGCATAATATTTTATCCGTTTATGCTGTTATTTTAAGATCGTTTTTGCAAGCATTGTTCAATACTACAAAAGTACAATCAAAATTGAAATAAATATTTTAATTGACTTTTGTAATATTTTTCAGCCATATTGAAATTATTAACAATATTTTTATAATAATTTCTATATTTTTGAAGCAAACTAGAGCTAGAGCGTCTTTGACGCTCACATTTAGGAATCCCGGTAGAGACTTTTGTGGATTCACAAACCCAAAATAGCAGCAATCGTCAGGATTTGGCGACCTTGGCCAATTATAGTCGGCGAGTTCAAACTGGCGATTCGGAAAACCCGAGAAACAAAGGGCAAATCGCACGCCGTTTTTTGTTTTGGTCCACCCTCTACGAAGCGATGGCTGGGGAGCTAAAAATAGCAAGTTTCACACCATCGAGTCA